TTGTCAACACCCTTAGAGCTACAATGCAACCATGTGTCCATGTTGCCTCATCACCTGAGCCACGCTAATGTCAGACGTTAATGACGGGGAGAGTGGGACAGGGGAACTGGTGACCGAGAGTTCTCTGCACTTTCCCTTCAGTTATTCTGCAGACTCAAAACTACTTCGAAAAGCAGTCTGTTGGTCTGAATATATATGTGCATCCGTGCTCAGTTGTGTCTGACTCTTTCTGACCCTTTGGGCTGTAGCCCGCCAGTCTCCTCTGTCCACGGGATTTCCCAGGCAGGAATACTGGAGTGGGTTGCCATTTCCTTCTCCAGGGGATCTTCCTGACCCAGGGATAGAACCTGAATCTCTTATGTTTCCTGCGTTGGCAGATGGATTATTTACCATCGAGCCACCTGGGAAGCTCTAAGTAGATACATATATGTACATATACACATGCACACATATGCATGAGAGAGAATGAGAAGACAGCCCACACTGGGAGAAAATATCTGATAATACACTTGTATATGGAATATAACATATATATATAGAAAAGTACATAAGCCCTGCACAATCTTCACAGTAATTTCCACGCTCCTGAAGGAGCTGAAGTGCTCCTTGTGACTTAGTCCTGGCTTACTTCAGGTGCACCTCCCAGTCTGAGGAAGTGGCAATCCCAGAAGTGGAATTACTGGATCCTATATTAATTCTCATGGCATCTGGTCCCATTGTTTCATAGCAGATAGATGGGGAAAAAGTGGAAACAATGACAAATTTTATTTTCTTGGGCTCCAAAATCATTGCAGACGGTGACTGCAGCCAGAACATTAAAAAATGTTCGCTCCTTGAAATAAAAGAAAGGAAATTGAAGTTGCTCATTCATGTCCGACTCTTTGAAACCCCATGGACTGTAGCCTACCACGCTCCTCTGTCCATGGGATTTCCCAGGCAAGAGTACTGGAGTGGGTTGCCATTTCCTTCTCCAGGGGATCTTCCTGACCCAGGGATCGAACCTGGGTCTCCTGCATTGTAGGCAGATGCTTTACTGTCTGAGCCACCAGCTGTGACAAATCTAGACAGCATATTAAAAAGCAGACAACTCACTCCAGTGTTCTAGTCTGGGAAATCCCATGGACAGAGGAGCCTGGCATGATACATAAATATACATTATAAGTATTTAAAAAAAAAGCAGAGACATCACTTTACCAACAAAGGTCCGTATAGTCAAAGCTATGGTTTTTCTAGTAGTCATGTATGGATGTGAGAGTGGACATAAAGAAGGCTGAGTGCTGAAAAATTGATGCTTTTGAACTGTGGTGCTGGTGAATACTCTTGAGAGTTCTTGGACAGCAAGGAGATCAAACCAGTCCATCCTAGAGGAAATCAGTCCTCCATGTTCATTGGAAGGACTGAAGCTGAAGCTCCAATACTCTGGCCACCTAATACAAAGAACCAATTCACTGGAAAAGATGCTGATGTTGGGAAAGATTGATGGCGAGAAGAAAAAGGGGCGACAGAGGATGAGATGGTTGGATGGCATCACTGACTCTGTGGACGTGAGTTTGAACAAACTCAGGGAATTAGTGAAGGATGAGAGCCTGGCGTGCTACAGCTGATGAGGCTGCAGAGTCAGACACAACTTGGCAACTGAACAACATGTTAATTCTTTGTTTAAAATTTTGAGGAACCTCTGTACTATTTTCCACAGCAGCTATCCTGTTATATTCCCGCCAACAGTGCACTGGGGTTCTGTTTTCTCCATGTTCTCGCTAAAAGTTGCTGCTGTTCTTCATTTATTTGTGTGATAGCCATCCTGGGGGGGGGGGGGTGAATGTCTTGTGGTTTTGATTCGCTCTTCCCAATACAACCAAATGATTTTGAACATCTTTTGTTGTGTTTATTGGCCAATGGAATATCTTCTTTGGAGAAATGTCTTTTCACATCCTTTGCCTTTTTTTTGAATTGTGCTGTCTTTTTATTGCTAAGTTTTAAGAGTTCTATTTATATTTTGGATGCTAGACTCTTACCAGATACATAATATGCAAATATTCTCTCCCATTCTGTGGGTTGTCTTTTTCTCAATAGTGTCCTTTAAGCACCAAAGTCGCAATTCTGATGAGCTCCAATCTGTTTCTGCCGTCGCTTGTGCTTTTGGTGTTACATTTAAGAATTATCTGCAGAATGTGAGGCCACGTAGAATTTCTCCAATGTCTCAGCTCTTAGAGTTAGGCATTCACTTTGAGTTAATTTTTGTATGTGGCATGAGGTAATACCAAATTCATTCTTTTGTGTGTAGATATCCAGTTGTCTCAGCAATATTTGTTTAAAAGACTGTTCTTTCCCCATTGAATGACCTTGACACACTTACTGCAGGTCAGTGGAGTGTGAACATGATGATTTACCGCTGAAGCCTCAGTTCTCGTGCGTTGATCTGTATGTCTGTCTTTATGCTGGAACTGCACTGACTTGACCACCACAGCCTTGCACTGAGTTCTGAAATTGAGAAGTGTGAGTCCTCAGCTGTGTTGTTTCTCAAGATTGTCTTGGCTGCTCCTTAAATAGCCAAAGGTTCCTTACATTTCCATATGAATTTTAGGGTCAGCTTGTAAATTTCTATGTGGAAGGCAGATGGAATTTTGAGAAGGATTGCATTGCATCTGTAGGTAAATTTGGGAAGTGTTGCCATCTTAATAATAATAAGTTCTCTAATCCATGGACAGAGGATGTCTTTCCATTTATTGGGGCCTTCTTTAATCTCAACCATGTGTTATATTCATTTTTAAACTTTATTGCTGAGTATTTTTAAGACTACTATAAATTAATTGCTTTCTTGAGTGTATGCAGGGTTGGTTGTTGCTGGTGAATAGAAACACAGTTGTCTTACACATTGACCTTGTTTCCTGCAACCTTGCTGAACTCATCTATTCTAAAAGCTCCCTTGTGTGGGTTCCTTAGGGCTTTCCTGTTACAGAATTACACCGTCTGCAGAGAGAGCTGGCTCTGCCTTTTTCTGTGTGCCTTCTACTTGTTCTCCTTGCATCGTTGCCATGACTGGAAGTCCCAGCACAACATGGGGAGCAGAGGCCTTTGTCTTGCCACTGGTCTGAGGTGGGAATGGTTCTCAGGGTTTTCCCCACTGAGTGTGATGTTTGCCCTTTATCAGGTTGATGAAGTTTTCTTCCATTCCTATTTTGTCAAATAGTTTTTATCATGAAGAAGTGTTAGATTTTGTCAAATGCTTTTTCTGCATTTATTAAGATGATGGTTTTTGTCTTTTTTCTATTGATATGGTGTGTTACAGTAATTGATTTTTTAATTATAAACCAGCCTTGCGTGCCTGGAATGAATCCCACTTGGCATGATATATAATTCTTTCTGTATGTTACAGAACTTCATTTGTTAACATTTTGTTGAGAATTTCTGTGCCTATATTTGATCTTTACTGATTTTTTGAATAAAATTTAATTGAAACAACTTACACATACAGAAAGTGTAGAGAACTATGTGATGGATGTCTGTTTCCCAGAGTCAACCCTAAAGAAATGCACCACCTTCTGCCCCGTTGATCAGATGGCCGTTCCTCCCACCTTTCCCTGCTCCCGTCTCCCTCCCTTTTGTAAAGTAAAAGGATTCTGTTTAGTGCCAGCCCCGCCCGCTGACTACAGGTGAAAACTCTGGACAGAATATTAGAAGAAAACGTGCACAAAAGGCAACAGTTTGAAAGGGGGGTTGGAACTTGAAGAGTGACACATGTCTGAGTCTTCGATGATTTTCAGTCCTCCTTCTCTTCTGGCCGTGACCCCAGGCCAGCTCCAGTTGTGGGCCAGGCAGTGAGGGCCGCTATAGCCCATTTTTCTGCCTGTAGGAACTATGAACGGGGCCTCAACAAGCGGGAGGCCATGAGGGAGAGGCAAAGAGCGAGAATCATCCAAATGGTCTGGAAAAGAACAAAGCTGGAGAACTCGAGCAGACATCAGGACTGATGTGAGGCTGGCATGAAGGCAGTGTGATGCCGCAAAGGACAGATGCCTCATCCCTGGACAGGATGGGTATCCCAGAGACACCCCACGAATGTGTCTGTCAGTTTGTGACCAAGGTGCCTGCAAAGGCAGCTCAGTGGAGAAGAGACAGTCTTTTAAACAAGAAGTGTTGGAATAACCAGACATCCATCTGCAGGAAAGGGAAACTTGACCGTACTTTGCATGTTATATAAAAACTCAAAATTGATCATAGGTCAAAAGTCAAACCTCAAACTTTAAAACTTCTAGAAGAAAACAGAAAATCTTTGTGATCTTGGGTTCAGCAAAGCATTGTTAGATATGACACCAGAATAATAATCCATTAAAAAAAAGTGGTAAGAGTTCATCAAAATTTAAAACTTATATTCTTCTAGGGACTTCCCTGATGGGTAGGAATCCTTGCAATGCAGGGGACGCAGTTTCAATCCCTGGTTTTGGATGATGCAGTGAAGACTCGAGGCAGTCAAATAAGTAAATATTTTAAAAAAGAAACTTACATCCTCCTGAAGATTGGTAAGAGAAGGAAAGGCAAGTCACAGATTTGGAGAAAACGCCTGCAAATTATACATCTAACAAAGGACTTCTAACCACAATGTGGAAAGAATTGTCAAAATTCAACACGAATACAAATGACCCCCCAAAAAAGTGAACTGAAGATTCTAGCAGGCACTTTACCACAAAAGGTGTACAGATAAAAAGTAGGCACGTGAGAACACTCAGCTGGTCAATAAGAAGTGCAGGTTGAATCGTGGTGAAATAGCATGTCTGTTAGCACAGCTAATACTGAAAAGTCATCAAATTTATAAAGAGCCTCCAAACCCGGAGGGGAGCAGTTGCAGCTCGCCCCCTGCTGGTGGGCATGCAAACCTGCAGCTACCCCGTAAATGGTTTGCCAGTTTCCTGTGAAGTTGACTTAGTGGAGGACCCAGCAGACCCCTCTGAGGCATCTGCCCCAGGAATACCACTCCGGCTCAGGCCCGTGCTTCTTTCCAGGCTCCATCATGTCCAGGCCCCAGACCCCAGAGCCGACCCTCGATGGGCAGGGAGACACCCCCGTGGGCTCGCCAGACGACGTGGCCGACGGGATCCAGCACTCGCATCGCATGCTCAGCTTCAGCGACGCGCTGCTATCCATCATCGCCACCGTGATGGTCCGTGGGGGCCCTGGGCCACTGAGGGGCAAAGGGGGGGCCCGGGCCGGCCCAAGTGCCGACGTGGGCACCCAGGGAGCGGTCGTTGCCCAGGGAGCATCCCTGGACCTGCGCTGTGTCTGTTGTAGATCCTGCCCGTGACCCACACAGAGATCTCCCCGGAGCAGGTACTTGGGAATGGTCTGCAGCATTGGAGTTCAGGCGGGGGCCCGGAGGCTCAGGCCACGGGCTCAAGGCTGGGCTCTGCTTGGGTGCACCTGGCTGGGGGGCTGGGGCCAGGCTGTCTGCTGCGTCTCCTCCAGAGCCTGCTAGCCCCATCCTGGCTTGTGAATGAAGGCGGTGCCCTCAGGCTGAGCCCTGAGGAGACCTGAGAAGGGCAGGGGCACCTGGTGGCTGGCATGGATGCCCCCTAGTTCTGTGCTGTGGCCCCTGGAGCGGCCCACCAAGCAGGTGCTGGGGAGCGGAGGGGCCAGCCTGGCAGACCTGGGCCCGCATGTGAGCAGAGAGGAGAGTGGGAAAGGAGGTAAGGCCGAGTTTTCATTGCTAGTCAGCTTGGAGCGTCTCCACTGGGTAGGTGAGACAGCGACACGTCCAGCCCCTGCGAGGTGGCCCTGACCCAGGAGGGGACGAGTCCCTGGGTGTGTGTGTGCTGAGTGCTGCGCTCAGCTCCTCGTGGCGTCGCCTCCAGCGCTGGTCTGTGCAGGACCAGCATGTCTGGGTCCAGCCTGGACGCTGCTGGGAATCTTGTCAGAGAGGTGGTGTCATTGCTTCTCACAGGGTTTGAACAAGACCGAGATGCAGGTTGAGCCTGATGACCTTGGCAAAGGGCCATGTGGCCTTCTCTGCTCCAGGGAGCTGCCTCCCCATGGGGTCCCACAGGGCCTGGGCACTCCTGCTGCTCTGGAACCTTCTGGGGGCTTCAGTGCCACCGCTTTCAGGACAGGGAGGCAGATGTTTGCGGGAAATGCTGAAGGTAACGGGGACCCATGGGCCTGGAGCGCCTCACCGCTGATCACCGTGGAGAAGCCCCCAGTCTGCATGCTGACCGACCCGGAAGAGCTCTGAGCCAGACTGTGGCTGGGACACTCCTTCAGGGCAGGTGCCGCGGGCTGGGGCGGGCTCCCCGTGGCTGGCAGCCGGCGCCAAGGAGAAGGCTCGTTGAGACCACAGGACCTGAGGGTCCGGAAACCGGGGCTGCTCACATGAGCTCAGAGGACCCGCAGACAGGGCGAGACATTGGATTTGCATCTGGAGTTTCTGATGACGGTGATGCGTGAGCCCTCTCCTGTGCCACCCAGCGTGCGGTCTGGTCACACAGCCTCTCGCCAGGCCTCACACGGCCTCGGGACCACTCACCTATCAGTGCCATGACTCTCTCTGGCTGCCAGGCCTCTGGCCACCTGCCGAGGTCCTGGGAGAGGCCTGAGGCCTTTCTGCCTCCAGAGCAGGCATTCCAGGGGCCTGCATGTCAGGATGGGCCCCAGGGCTAGCCCAGACGAGGCTAAGTGTGGGTGGGGGTGGGTCCTCTAGAGGTGTGTCCCCAGGCGGGGCACCATCCCAGGCGAATGGGGTTGATGAGAGGCACTTCTGTTGCAGGAGTTTGACAAGAGTGTCCAGAGGCTCCTCGCCACCAGGATTGCTGTCTACCTGATGACTTTCCTCATCGTGACCGTGGCCTGGGCAGCCCACACGAGGTACAGCGGGCCGGGGCCTCTGCTCGGGGGGCAGCCGGCAGGGTGTGCGCCCAGCGGGCGTGGGCTCACTTGGCCCAGGGTCAGGCTGGTGGCGGGTGTGCTTGGGGCGCAGCCGCCCCTCCCCGCTCCCCACGGAGGCCTCGCCCACACCACTGCTTTCACAGGCATGTTGCCACAGCAGCACGCCCCAGGCCCGGACGATGACGGGGTGCTGGGCACGGCACTGAGGAAAAGCATCCTCAGGAGCCCAGGGGAATTGGGCCCCGGAGCTCTGCTGACAAGCCCCATGGGAGGAGGGTCCAGGAGGCCCCCGGGGTGGAGACGCTCCCCGCCACGGTGCTGGGGGCACAGGAAGGCAAGGAGCTTGCGAGGCAGTGGCACCCAGGTGGAAAGTGTCTCAGCGTCGTCCCGCACACGTGTGTTTTCAGCAAAGTGGTCATTTCTGGTGAGGACAAGTGACCCCCTTTTAAGGCTTCAAGGGATCTCTCCCGCCTCCTTGCTCACAGAAAGCGAGGAGGCCCGGGGGCTGCCGGCCCAGTCCTGCCCGGAGCCATGCAGGCCACGGGCATGACCAGTGTCTGGGGCTCATCAGCGCCCCCACCCTCTGCTGCGGGGGCTGCAGGCTGCGCTTCTGACTGAGAGATGCTCCTGGCCCCTCAGGTGCCCTGGGCCCTGACCAGGCGGAGACCTCCCTGGGGGGAGCAGGCCGCATCCTCGGGGCTCCAAGCGGGGAGAGCGCGTGGGGACTGAGACAGGCCGCAGCCTGGGCGCTCTGCCTGCTTCCTGCCTGTGCCAGTCTTCTGCCCACGTGTCTCCATCTCAGCGTGAAGCCGTCGTGTGTGTGTCTGTATCTGATGCCATCAGAGCCACATTCATTCACAGTGACTTCTGCCCTTTTCCTTGAATTGTTCAGGTTGTTCCAAGTTGTTGGGAAAATAGACGACACGCTTGCCCTGCTCAACCTGGTGAGTTTCTCCTTCGGTTCCTGGGCTGGAGCTCCACCCGCCAGGAGCCAGGGCTGGTGCTCAACCCCGGGTGTGCAGGGCTGGCCCCCAGCCACCCTCAGCTGTGCCCCACCCCCTTCCCAGGCCTGCATGATGACCATCACCTTCCTGCCGTTCACAGTGAGTCACAGGGGCTTCTGGCCCCCCTTCCACCCCGGGCCCAGCCGCCCTCCACTGACCCGAGAACATGCCCTCCTCAAAGCTCTCGGACCCATGGGCAGGTGCCCTGGACCACGTGGTTGCAGAGGTTTCCAAGAGCCGGCCGGTTCCCGTCACGGGGCGCAGGTGGGGGTGGGGGTGGGGCGGAGCCCCCGACCTCCTGGCCAACCTGGGCTCATCCCTGCAGGTGACCCACCCTCTTCTCACCCAGCAGCTCCTGGATTCGGAGGGAGGGCCATGCTCTGAGCGCAGTGCGTCACAGAGGGTTGCGGTGTGGGGAGCCTTTATGAACTTGATAACCTTCAGCTTTAAAGGCTTCAAGCTTCAGCCCAAGGGCTCCTGTGGCAGAAACGCCCCCTCCCCTGACGGCTCCGCAGCGGCCCAGGCACGGCCCAGTGGACTCGCAGGGGCCCTGATGTTGTGGGTCTTTCTGGCTGCAGTTTTCCTTGATGGTGACCTTCCCCGAGGTGCCTCTGGGCATCTTCCTGTTCTGCATGTGTGTGATCGCCATCGGGGTCGTGCAGGTAGGACGCCGCGCCCTACTGTGTCTCGGGGCACAGCTGTGGCATGTGCTCGGGCCCCCGCTGAGGGGCCGTGAAGACTGTGTGCTGGGACCCCCCCGCTGAGGGGCCGTGTAGACCATGGGCTGGGACCTGTGCTGAGGGGCCGTGCAGACTGTGCCAGCCAGGGCGTGTCTGCCCCGGGCACCCGCTTAGGGCCCGAGCCCCCTCCCTGATGTGGATGGAGAATGAGATGGGCCTGGCGCCCTCAGGCTGGGCTGAGACCCCAGGCCTGCCCGAGCAGCACGAGGGCCCTGCCCCCACGCCCCAGACTTCCTGTGGCGCCCGTGCGAGGCCCACCCGCAGCCTGCAGCATCTCCCGCAGGCGCTGATCGTGCTCTATGCCTTCCACTTCCCGCACCTCCTGAGCCCCCAGATCGAGCGCTCTGCCCACCGTGGTCTCTACCGGCAGCACATCCTGGGCATCATCATGCGGGGCCCCGCACTCTGCCTGGCTGCCGCCGGCTTCTCCCTCTTCTTCTACCCCGCGGTGAGTCCAGGGCCTGCCCGGAGCTGCCACAGCACACACCAGCGGGCCTGGGATGCGTGGCTCTCTACACGTGCGTGGGGCTGTGGCCAGCTGAGAGCGGAAGTAGGGAAAAACCTTCCCGAGCCAGGAAGGACGGAAGTGGAGGAAAGGGAGGTGCAGGCACAGTGGGCTGGCCAGCACAGAGCGCAGGAAGACGGAGTGAGGGAGACGGCGGGTGCAGGCGGGGCTGCGCCTGACTCTGTCCTGGCCGAGCTGCAGCCGGAGATGCTTCGCTTACCTGGGTGGGGAGATAGCCCCACCAGCGGCAACTCAGGGCCGCCCCTGCCTTTACCTGCGCTCTGGGTGAAGCAGAGTGAACCCTTAAACCCAAATCATCACAAGAAATGTGAAGGAATGTATTTTAAACGTCTAGTAAATGTTTCAAGAGAATTCCAAATTTAAAATAAACAGGCTGGCAAGGGCTGCAGGGTCACACCCTGGAGGATGGAGCTGGGGGCTGGGGTCATGTCCAGGGCACCCCGGCTCAGGCCGCAGGTGGGGGCGGGGGGATGACGTGTCCCCTCACCGTGTGGGGGCTGCAGCTCCCGGTGGACCCCCCTCCTGCTGGTCAGGGGCCTTGGGGACCTTTGGGGCCAGGCGAGGTAACCCTGACCATGGCCTTCAGTGGGTGCTCCCCGTGGACAGGGCAGGCCAGCAGGGGTGAAGCACAGAGATGGAGGGCAGGAGGGGTTTGCAGCATCCATGCTGCAGGTGGGTCAGCCCCCCAGCTCTGGCCGGGCTCAGGCAGTGGGGGGCATTGTGTGGAGGACAGAGGGCCTGGCTGGGTGTGGAGCGAGCGGCCTGGGTGAGGAGCAGGCAGAGCGGAGGCCCCTTGGCGGGCACTGTGGGTGCCATGAGGCACCTGGGCAGGGAGGTGACTGGACCCTTGAGTGATGGCAGCAGGGGGGAGGGCGCTGGGCTGCCACAAAGAGGGGAGGGTCTTCGTGGGGCTGGGGCCCAGGTAACCCGTCCCCCATGTCCTGCCTTCCTGCAGGGGTGGTCTGGCCCCTCAACCCCTCACCCGCTTGCCTGGGGCGCCCTCCCATCACCACGTGGGACAGCCCCCTGCCCAGCCCCCCCAAAGCTCCCCAGGAGCCCTGGGCCATCCTCCCAGGCTTGCTCACCACCCCCCCCACCCCAATCCAGGGTGCCGTCCTGGGCCCACCTTGCAGTCCCCACCATGGTCACACCCTGGCCCACCGTCCCCACCTCCATCTGGACCGTCTACACCAGTGCTGACGATCAGGCCCCGGGCCTGCTCCTCCCTTGGGCTCACACCCCTCAGCCCTGGGCAGCCCCCGCCCCGCACCCAGCTCAGGTTCCCCTTGGACTGTTGTTTGACATGCATGCACACGCACACACACGCCCTGGTCCTGCCACAGCCGCGCTCCCTCGGGCCTCAGCACTCCCCTGAAGCACGCTCTCCGCACAGTCATACCTGCTGATGGCCACGGTCATCTTCCTGCCCTACGTGAGCAAGGCTGCCGGCTGGTGCAGGGCCCACCTTACGGGTAGGTGTCCTGGGGGGCTCCAGGGCTGCCACCCAGGGCCCCCCCCTGGCCCAGAGTGCTGAGGGCTCGGCCGCCCCTCCCTGGCTCACCACAGGCCCCAGAGAGCCCCCGGCTCACAGCATGGAGGTCTTCACCTTCGACCTGCACGAGCCGCTCAGCAAGGAGCGGGTGGAGGCCTTCAGTGACGGGGTCTACGCCATCGTGGCCACTCTGCTCATCCTGGACATCTGGTGAGAGCTGGGGGCCGCCCTCGCAAGGGGCTCCCACCCGAGGGCCCCGGGCAGGGCCCGCCCCCCCAGGGCGGAGGGCGGGGGGCGGAGGGCGGAGGGCAGGCGGCCCCCAGCTCCCTGTGCCCCGCTCTGCTGCTTGGCCAGGCAGCCTCTGCGTCTGTCAGAGTTCCAGCCTCAGCTATCGTATCTTCATTTCTAAGTGTTTTATCTACTCCTTTTTCAAATCTTCCATCCTTTTTAAAGCCTTTTTTTGTTCCTTGGCCATATTTCAGTACATTCATGTTTTGTTAACATTTAAACACTCTGATTTTATGTTCTGTATCTGATCATGTAAAGTCTTGATGCCCCTAAGCTTCTCTGAGTAGCTTTTTCTTACTGTGACTTGAGAACTTTTAAAAATTAGGAGCAAATGCCCATGGGCACAAATCTCTGAGGCCCAGAGGTTCTGCCCTGAGCCAGAGCCCTGCCTCCTCGTCCCTGCTGGGTGGCAGTGAGGGGTGACTGCGGCTAGGCACCCCATGGGTCATGGCTCCTTCCTCCCACCAGAGGCACAGCCCGAGGACCCAGGTGGGGGTCCCCGGGAGACCCCAGGCTCTGTCTCCTGCTCCCACCCACACCAGCATGCATGCGGCCGCCGGGTTTGTCCAGGCTGTGGCTGTTGTCCACGACCTCCCCTGTGTGCCTGAGACTCTCCTTACAGTCAAGTTCAGCCTGGGCAAAGCCCCTCAGGCCTGCGGGGCCACTCCCCATGGAAGGGTCACTGCAGGGGGTGAAGCTCTCACAGCACTATCCGTGGGTGCCAGAGGGGCTGCAAGCCTGGGGCCTGGCAGGCAGGGCTGCGGTCAGCCTAGACAACAAAGGCTGCAGCTGAACTTGAACTTCAAGTGAACAGCCCTGCGTGTGTCAACACAGATCCGCAAAAGTCCGCACGTGCTGTTCATTCATCTAAAGTTCGTGTGTGCGGGGGCAGCCGTGCTGACCGGATGCCAGAGGCGGGGCCCCCACAGATTGGTGTGTTTCTCCCCTCAGCGAGGACAATGTCCCGGACGCCAAGGATGTGAAGGAGAAGTTCCAGGGCAGCCTGGTGACCGCGCTGGGCGAGTCAGGGCCGCACTTCCTGGCCTACTTCGGCTCCTTCGCCACGGTGGGCCTGCTCTGGTTCGCCCACCACTCACTGTTCCTGCACATCCGCAGGGCCACGCAGCCCATGGGACTGCTCAACACGCTCTCGCTGGCCTTTGTGGGCGGCCTGCCCCTGGCCTACCAGCAGACGTCAGCCTTCGCACAGCAGCCCCGCGATGAGCTGGAGAGCGTGCGCGTCAGCTGTGCCATCATCTTCCTGGCCAGCATCTTCCAGTTCGCCATCTGGACCACGGCACTGCTGCGGGAGGGGGAGACACTGCAACCCTCTGCACGCTTTGGGGGCCGCGAGCACGCATTCATGTTTGCCAAGCTCGCCCTGTACCCCTGCGCCAGCCTGCTGGCCTTTGCCTGCACCTGCGTGCTGAGCAGCTTCAGCACGGCCATCTTCCACGCCATGCAGATCGCGGTGCCCTTCACCTTCCTGCTGCTCCGGCTGCTGGTGCGCCTGGCACTGGCCAGCCTGCGGGCCCTGCGGGGGCTGGTGGGGCCCGTGCTTGCCCAGCCGGCGCCTGGGGCTGCGGACGAGGCCCAGTCCCCACTGCTCCCTGCCCCCTGCTAGTGCCGCCCTGCCCCGTCTCCGGGGCCTTGTGAAGATTCATGTTCTGCCTCAGACCCTCAGATTACTTCCACTTTGCAGAGAAGAGTCTCATGGCAGCTTTACTGTGTTGCTTGTGCCCGTTGTCTGCTCAAGCCAGCAGAGACGAGCCCCGGAGGGCTGGCAGGAGGTGGGGGCCCTGGGGCAGTGGGCCCAGCCCGGGCCCAGCCCCTCCCTGGACTCAGGCCACACCCCAGTGCAGAGGCCCCAGCAGGCTGCCAGAACACCCACCCACCCCCCGCGACGCCCCAAGCACAGTGACGCAGGAGACGGACAGCAGAAGGGCCGGAAGCCCAGACTCTATTTGTCCAAGATATAAATTACGGTCACCTTCGGGGGTAGGTTACACACGAGGAAGGGGCGCAGCGCTCACACACACTCTCAGACTCGCTTACACGCAGAGGACTCGTCCACCCGAACCGCAGTGACAGACAGTTCCCACCAACCGGTGCAGCTGCAGGGCAAAAGCTGATTCCGCCCCCAGGAACGCAGGCCCGAGGGATGCACACCGGGCACTGGAGGCCCGTGGCCCTCGTGCTGCCCACGTCTGGGTAGCTTTGGCACGAGCTGGGCGGGGCCGTGTCTGAGGTCGAGGCCAGTGTCAGGGCGAGGCCGCCACCCAGGGTGAGGGCCTGGCAGCCAGCCAGTGCCAAGGCATAGGGACCAAACAGTCAAGAGAGGGGCCTCCGGACCCTCCTTCACGCCTGGACAGGGCTCTGGGCTGGCTGGACTCCAGGGCTCTGAGTGACCCGCCTGGCAGCCCATCTGCGTCCCCCATCTCCACGTGGAGAAGCACAGAGACACATCTGCTCAGTGGACACGGAACCCACGTGGTAACTGCTGACACGCGGAGGGGCGGAGCACTTTCCCCAGCCAATTAAACCTCTCCTGCTGCACACTCGCCTCACATCCTTGGGAGTCCTGGCCGGGCCAGCTCCTGCTGCCTCCTGGGTACCACACACCTCCTGGGGGGCCAGGCCCACCTGGCTTCCCCGGGGCCTGCCTCTCCCAGCCCAGTCACCCCAGGGTCCCCGCAGAGCTCAGACTGGGCCAGCCAGACACTGTCCGGCCCGGGAAGCTAGTGGCTGGGGTGTCCCATGACTGCACTGGGCACCCCCAAGGTCAGAGAGCCAGCTGCCCTGTAGGGGTGCCTCGGGGTACTGCTGAGGTCTGGTGCTGCCCGGCTCAGGGGCCCAGAGGTGGCAGAGGGGCCCCGGGGGAAGTGTGTGTCCTCCAGGACAGCGGCCTGGGCCCCAGGGAGCCCCACACCACCCACCTAGCAGTCTCCGCCTGGCACGGGGAAGAGACGGGAAGGCCAGAGGCCAGGGCTATGAGCACATCTGTCCGCTGCTGAGTGCTGCTCCAGGATGTGCCTCTACTTGGGGTCCCCCTCGGGGGCCGGGGCCCCGTCGGCTCGTGCATCCTTAGGGGGCCCCCCCTTCCTGGGCTTCTGCTTGGCCTTCCTGAGCATGTGGACCTGTCCCAGGACACACAAGAGCTGTCACAACTCAGGCCACCTGGCCACAGGTCCCAGAGCAGCCGCCACCATCTCAGCCCATTTCACGGAAGGGGACAGGGTGGCGGTTAACTAAAGGCTGGCCGCCTCATCCAGCCCATGGCCTCTCAGAGTCAGAGAAGAACTAGCCATGGCTAGACTGCCCACCAGCCGCAAGCCCCCTTCCCACCCCACCCTGACGTACCTTAGGGCCCGCAGCCGAGATGATCAGGTGCCCAGGAGCCTGGACCCAGGGTTCACCATCCACCTGCACGGGTGTGGCCTTGAGAAGGGTGACGCGGAAGTAGGACCCCTGGGCAATGCGGATGCCTGAGCGCAGCCCACTCTGGACCTGGCCCTGGTGGGAGGGGGGCCAGGCTCAGCAGGCCACAGGCGGCACCGAGGGCCTGGTCTCCAGTCCCCACACTCCCCATGTGCACACCCCGGGCCCGTGTCTCCAGTCCCCACACTCATCATGTGCACACCCCAGGCCCCTGTCTCGTCCCCATGCTCCCCGTGTGCACACCCCGGGCCCCCGTCTCCCCACCCCCATGCTCACCATGTGCACAACGCCCGTCACCCCCACCACCTCCAGCAGCCCGTCGTCCATGCGCGGCTTCTCGAACCTCGAGTCACTGTCGGAGCCCCACAGGTCGGCCCCTGAGCCCCAGCTGCACAGGAGGGAGGGGCACAGAGGTCAGAGGAAGGTTGGACAGGAGGGCGGGGGCCAGAGCCCTGGAGACCCGTGCGTGGGGGCATGCAGGTCAGATGCATCCCCGGCCCCGTCCTCAGTGGGCATTTCTCGGGGAAGCAAGGTCAGGGAGACTTAGCATCGGGCGGGGGTAGGAGCCCCTCACCCTACGTGAGGCCCCACAGGGCTGGACAGGAGGGCAGGGGCTGCAGCCCTGTGTGTGGGGTCACGCAGGTCAGAAGGAGGCTGGGCAGGAGGGCACGGGCCGCGTGGGCACCTGGGGATGTTGATGAAGATGAGCCCCTCGATGCTGGGCAGCTCCACCTCCTGCTGCTCCACCTGCAGCCGGAGGGCCCTGTGCAGGCCGCGGGAGTGGCTGATCTTCTGCAGCCCGACCCGCACGTACACGCCCTTGTTGTGGAACCTGGTGGGGGACTCCGCGTCATGAGGGGCCCCAGACCCCGGTCACGGCTGGTGAGCCCCCAGGAAGTTCCGGGCAGCCCCGCCCCACCCGTGCACCCTGACCTGCTCGTGAACTTGCCGGGCTCCTCCTCCCGCGCTTGGTGGAAGTCCAGGCTCAGCTCTGCGTCGATGCCGATCCCACAGTAGTTACTCATCTGTACGATCTGAGGACAAGACGTGTCTCCCTTGGCCCCTGTCGACCCCCAGAGGCTCCCCGCCTCCCATGAGGCCAGCATACATGGCCCTGCTCTCAGCTGCCCATCCGCCTGGGAACGGTACTCGTGGCGACGCCGGGGCGTGGGCACCACTGGGCACCACGCCCTTGCCCGGGCACGCCGGTACCTTGGGGGGCTCTGCCTCTGCCTCGCTGTCCTCCTCGCCAGCAGCCTTGTGAGCATCCAGCAGGATGGTCCAGCGGTCCACAAGCACGGCGTCCGCCTCGTCCACTGACAGCAGCACGGAGAATGGGTCCTCCCCGCTGTAGCCCGCCCCCCAGCGGAGGACCCGGCCCAGGTCGTTCCCTGGGAACCAGCAAGACAGGCTGCCTCCACACCCGGCCTGCCACGCCGGGCCCCCACCCCCGCCGGGCCGGCCCGCCCCACCTGTGCCCAGGGGCAGGATGGCTACAGCAGGCTCCGGGCAGGCCAGGCGGTGCCTCATGTCCTCCAGGGCGGTGAGCACCCAGCCCACCGTGCCGTCCCCGCCGCACACCAGTACCCGGAAGCAGGGTACCTGGGAGAACACGTGGAACCTGGGCAGGGAGACAGGGCATGTCCTGCCACCATGGCCAGACAAGACGGACCAGGCCACCCCGGGGCAGGAGGGCGCCCTCGTTGGTCCCGCCACGCCCCGCCCCTCCAGGCACGCTCACCCGGGCAGTGGCCCCCCGTTGGTCAGTTCGAAGACCTGGTGGGGGTTGAGCAGCTTCCGGAAACTGCAGAGCAGGTCGCGGCCCTTGAGCCCTCCACTCCTGGGGTTCACAAACACGAGCAGGGGGCGGCAGTCTGGGGCCAGCTTCGTGTGCTGACAGATGCGGGCTGCGTCAGGGGGTGCGGGACGGCCCCCGGGGGAAGCAGGGCCTCCCCCGACCCTACGCCGATCTGGGGCTGGCCTTCCTTGGGAGGGAGGCCACGCAGCCACCCCACCTCACCACTGGCCTCTTAGACCACCCCCCGCGGTACCACAGACCACAGACCAACGGGCAGGGAAGGTACCCGGAGCCCTGAACCGATGGCCACGGCGCCCCTGCCACGACGTGTCTTTAGGCCCCACCCCCGCCTGGTGCACGGGCCTATGAGTCCAGGCCAGAAGCCCACTGGGACCCGCCCGGCAGTCAGGAGGGGCACCCTGGCGCAAAGGGCCGCCCCATGCCTCACCCCAGCAATGGGTGAAGGCCCTCCCCACACATAGCAGAAACGGCATTTGAGAGAGCAGGGGTACCAAGCTGGTGGGGGGGGGTGGCTGGGGCCTTACACGGTGGGGTTGGGGGGCTGAGGTCCCCCCTGGTGGGGGTGGGGGGCTGGGGTCTCTACACCGTGGGGGGGGGGCTGGAGTCCCCGCCATGGGGGCCGCTGGGTGACGAGGGACAGACAGGCAGACACCATGGGCAGTGGTGGCACACGGCTCGGCTGTGGCTCAAGGCTGTGGGCACGCAGAGGGCGCGTGTGGGCCCTCAGGCAGGGCGGCCTGCGGGCAGCACTCACCTGCTCGCTGGGGCAGGCAGCTGCCAGGGGAGAGGGCTGGCAAGACCCACCTGTCTCTGGCCAGAGGGCGGGCGGAGGGCCTGGGCCCACGATCACCACGCCCTTGTCTGGACGGTTGGCCAGGGCAGCAGAGACCACAAGGGGTGGCCCCCCCAGCCACAGCCTGAACTTTCTGCTGTAATTCCACCTGACCTGAGCTAGGTCAGGGGCCACAGACACCCTTGGTGATGGTGGGGGGGGGGGCGTCCCTGGAAGCCAGCAGGGCTAAGGACCAGAGGTGGACCAGGGCACAGAGCACAGGGCAGGGTCCGGGGCCCTGTGGGGACTTTGAGACAGCCTGGGGAGTCGGGGAGCATCATGTACTGAGGAGGCCCATGCTGCGAGCAAGGTCCAGGGCCTCCCAGGCAGGGCGAGTGGGGCCAGGGCCCATGACCCCACGGGGGCTGCCCGCGCAGTCACACACACGTGACAGGCTGACAATGTGTGCCCTGCAGGGCCTGCTGAGGTCAGACCTCGGCCCATCCTGAGGAGCGAGCTGGCCTTGCAGCAGACATTTGGACTTTGCTCCAACGGCCCAAGATAAAGACAAACCAGTGGGAGCCTCAGCCCCAGGCCCACCTTAGCGCCACTCACCAGCACCTCCGGGAGCACCAGGGCCATCAGCGGCCGGCCACGCACAGCCGTGTCCCTGACCAGCATGTACAGCCGCTCGGCCTCCGCGAAGCAGGCCACGTCCAGCACCACAGCACCTGTGGCAGGTGGGCGGTGAGCTTGGGTGCCTGTGCGAAGGTCCCGACCCCCACAGTGTCTTGGGCCAGGGCCCCAGCTGTGGGGGAATGACCCCAGTTCTGGCCACGCCCGCTTTGGGCCAGCCTGTCCCAAGGTGTGCATGACTCCTTGCCTGGGGGAGGCCTTCAAGGACAGCGAGGCCCAGAGATGGGAGATGCTTGATGGGCAGAGCAAGGCTACTGGAGGTGGTGGGACAGACAGGCCCCAGGGCCCACGAGAGCCATGGGGGGTGCTGGGAGCTGCTGTCGGCCCCCAGAGGGGAACACGGGCCCCATGACACTGTCCTCCCGCTGCTGCTAAGTCACTTCAGTCATGTCCGACTCTGTGCGACCCCATCCCTGGGATTCTCCAGGCAAGAACAATGGAGTGGGTTGCCATTTCCTTCTCCAAGGCATAAAAGTGAAAAGTGAAAGTGAAGTCACTCAGTCATGTCTGACTCTTCGCGACCCCATGGACTGCAGCCCACCAGGCTCCTCTGTCCATGGGATTTTCCAGGCAAGAGTACTGGAGTGGGGTGCCATTGCCTTCTCCAGTCCTCCTGCTGGGGAGATCTAAAGCTGCCCGGGATAAACTCTGGAACCCGCGAGCAGCACAGGCTGTGGTGAGAATGTTCTCTGCACCTCAGTCACATTTTAGCAAAAGCATCACAGCTGGGAGCCGGGAAACAAACACCAAGGTTTCCCCTACCCCGGGCCCCCAATGAGGTGAAGCCAGAGGGCGGGGCTGCCCCACCTGCTCTGGAGGTGACCTTTGACCAAACCTGACCAGGGTCTGCGGGTGGCTCACCTTGGGCGGAGTAGACATGGCTCACAGTCACCACAGCAGCTGCAAAGATGGGGGGACTGTGATCAGATGCCAGAGACCTGCCCCCAGGGCCTGTGGCCACCCAGCCTCCCAGACCAGAAAGAAGCTCACACCCCCGAAAAGGGAAGCTCACTCTCCCAGAAGTGTCCCCTACTTCAGGCACTGGGCAGCCCCAGGGCCCAGATCAGGAGGCCCAGAAACTCTCCAGAGGAGGTAACAGGCCCTGGGCCTCAGACATGAGGACAGAGGTCCTCTTGTCAGGACCCAGTCTGGCATGTGACTGGGAGGAGGGGGGAGCAGGAGGGCCCCACCTTGGCACTGCAGCCCCCAGACCCCCCCTTAGGACTCCTGGTCTGCACCCCCCACCAGGCCAGGCACCCCGCCAGCCCAGGGAGTGACAGTCCAGGCAGGTGTACCTTTGCTGGCGACAGCCTCATCCAACAAACTGCGGTACTCCTGGGGGGACAGGCCCGGCGGCAGACCACCCACAAACAGAGAGACGCGCGGGGCCAGCGCCCTGCTCTCAGCCACGTAGAACCGTGTCTGGCTCATCTGCCGCAAGGACATCTGCAGGGAGGGGACACTGAGCGGAGCCCCGGGGACACCCCCCACCCGCTCTGTCCACAGGGGGCCAAAGGGAAGACGTCCCAGGCCAAGCGCCCCCAGAATAAGAAAGGACAGCAGAGGAGGGACACACGGAGACCTCAGGGGGAGGCACTGCAGGCCAATGTGGCCTTGGTGTCCTCAGGGCAGACTCCCTGTCTACAAGGGACAGGCTGTGCCCAAAGGCCAGCGGCTCCCCGGGGGCAAATGGCCGCATCCACTGACCTGCCGGATCTCACGAAGCCGGTCAAGCAAGGGTTCCTCGTCTGCCAGCACCGTGCGCTGGACTGTGGGGTTGAGAGACACCGCCGTGAGCCCCAGACACCACGACCACCTCCATGACCAGGTGTCCCGGAGCCCCTGGGCAGACGCGGTCAGGGCACGGGCTACAGGCTGCCCCCTCACCTTGTCTGCTGCCCATGAGCACCTCCACAAGCTGGAAACCCTCGACCCCCTCAGCCTGTGGGGGTACAGTTCAGGGTATCAAGTCTGGACGGGACCCCACCACCCTAAGACTTTGGCAGGGCGGGTACACGGGCGGGGCGGGGTGGGCACACACCTGGCGTCCGAGCAGCGGGAGGACCTCCAGCACCACGCTGCGGGCAGTGCTCTGCGGGGTCACACGGATGGAGACGTAGGCCACACCCACCCTGCAGGGGACAGGCTCAGGAGCTGGGGAGGCACGGTCCGCGCTCCTCCCCGCCCCCCACAGCCCTGCTGGGACCTGGTCTCACTTGAGCCAGGCCGGGTAGATCTTCAGGATCTCCTGGGTGCGGGGCAGAGCGCGGAGGACCCAGGCCTGACAAGTTGCTCTGCCGCCCTCCTCCTCAGCGGACCCAGCGCTCCAGACCTTTCCCGCTGCCACGGTGTCTCCAAGCTGCGCAGGAGTGGGGAGCGCCTGCAGCTGGAAGCCCTCAGGGTCCTCGGGGATGTAGTAAGCCCGCAGAGCCGCCTCCTGTGAGAAGGGGGCAAAGGTGGGGCCTGCCAGGGCCAGGTCCGTGGGTCCCCGCAGCCCCCCATGGCCGGGCTCCCTCTTACCAGCACCTCCTGGCTCCGGGCCAGGTGCGGGACCGTGACTGTACGAAAGTGGTTTCGCTGCATCGCGTCGCTGCCATCAAAGATCTTCAGAGTCTGCTTGCCTGGGCCGCAGGGGAGCGCGTGCAAGTCCGTGGAGTGAGAGACGGTCGAGGGAGCGGGGTCCGGGGTGTGGGAGCGGGCACAGCGAAGGGGCACTTACCGGACTCAGGCGCCCCCACCTCTCGGCCCGGGCCGGCGGGGACGCTGCCATCGGCGCTGTCCTCCCCGTCCCCTGTGAGAGGGTCACAGACGGCCTTAGTCAGGGCCCGGCCCAGCGCCGGCCACCCCTCCCCGTCACCCGGCTCACCCGGCTCCGGCGCCGCGATCTCAGGGATTCGAAAGCAGTGCATCTTGCTGAAGTTTCGGGACAGGAGGCGCACGCAGGCGGGGGGCAGGACCAGGGTGCGTAGGCGCCCGAAAGTGCACTCGGGGGCGAGCGCCGCGGAGCAGACCGAGTGGGCCTGAGGGGAGCGGGTGCGGCTCGAGCGCGGGGCTCCGGCGCAGAAGGCCAGGAGGACCCACACCGAGCACCCCCAACCAGAGACCTGAGTCTCCCCTCTACCCCCAAAGGCCGGGAGGTGGCGCGATCCAGACGAGCTGTGCCCAAGACCCAGGACTCCATCCGGCGGCACCGCCGAGGCCCCCCGCGCGCGCCAGCCCCAGCCGAAGGCAGCCGAGGCCCCGCCCCGCGCGCAGAGGCCCCGCCCAGCGCGCCCACCTGGACGCTGCACCACTCGCAGCGCACGCCGGCCGGCACGTCCGAGGAGCCGCACGTCTTCCGACAGAGCTCGCAGCGAGCGCCCGACGGCAAGGTCCCCTCCCGCCAGTGGTGGAGGTGTGCGTCCTGCGGAGAGTGCCGTCAGCGGCTCGTCCGGCCGCCCGCTCCCCGGCCTCCCCCAGGCCCCGCGCACTCACATGTTCGCGGTGCCCGTCCTGGTGGCACTGGCGGCAGTCGCTGCAGGCGAAGGGCACACAGTCGGGGTGAACGTGCAGCTCACACACTGGGGGGCGGGCAGGGTTAGGGGGCCTCTGTTCGCTGCCCACCGACCCTGCCAAACCCCCGGATCAGGCCTGGGTCTGCCCCTCCCCGGACCTCACTTTCCTGAACGTTTGGGGGCCTGTGGTGAGACAGGAACACCCCCGAGCCCCCCCCCCCCCCGACCCCGGCACGATGGGAACCAGCTTCTCTGCGTCTCTCCACCCAGCCCACCTCTGCACGCAGGGGGCGGCCCTGAGATGCCCCGCACCCACCTCCCCGCCTCCCACCCCAGACCTGCGGCCTGACCGCAAGGGGGGGCGAGGGCCGCCCGGGCCGCAGAGACCAGGCCCCTGGGGCGGGGCCACGCGGGATGCTGGCGGTACCTTCGCAGCGGAGGCCCAGCGCCTCCAGGCCCTTGCGGCACACGGAGCAGAACCTGCGCTTGTAGAGCCCCCGGGGGCCGAAGCAGTGGGCCACCGGGACCTGGGAGGGGCAGAGCCTGGCCTCAGCCTGGGTCCCCCATTCCTCTCTGCCCAAGGAGCTGCCATGACCAGCCCTGGTCTCCTGCCTGACCCTTCAGTCCTCCCGAGCCCTGCTGATGGAGTGCCGTGTGTGCCTCTGGGCCCCTCCATGCTCCCAGGGGATCCTGCTGGGGACCGCCCAGCATGCGGACTCCTCTGTTCCTTGTGCGGGACTGACTCGGGGCAGCCCCAGGGCGTGACCTCAAACAGCCCCTTCTGCAGCTCAGGCCCAGCTGGCCTGGCCCAGGCCTGACTCAGCTGCACAGGTACTGGCCACCCCCAGGCCTGTTCCTCTGGCTGATACATTTGGGGCCAGCCAGATCGAGTACAGGTGGAGGGAAGCCCAGCCACAGGCTGCTGGGTACCAAGGACCCCAGAGAAGACAGGGTCAGAGCCTTGGGGAAGAGGGGCCCCCTGCTGCCCTGGGAGGGGCTCGCGGACAGGGGTGCACTGCAAGGGGGCACTCCCAGCCCAGCCCATCTGACCTGCCGGCCCGACTCCCAGCCCAGCCCCCTCACACACAGGAGCCGGGCCCCCAGGCCCTCTTTGCCCTCCTCCCAAAGGTGCAGGTGCAGCGGCCAAGCTCCATACGCACGCGGACCAGGCTGGGAGCCACACTGGTGCAGGGGGTCTTCACGTGCTTCAGGCACTTCTCGTGGGACATAAAGTTGCAAACTGTGGGAACAAGAGCCCCGTGAGTTGGCCCCTGTCCTGCCCAGGGATCAAGAGACCGCAGGGCTTGGCATGAGGGAGGGAGGCCGCGCCAGGGCAGACAGCTTATCACAGTGGGCCCACCCTCCCAGACCTTCCTGAGCCTAACCCTGGCCGTCAGGGTAGAGAGAGAGCGTGGAGAGAGCCTCGTCCTCGGCCCCACCCCTGAGAGCTGAGTGAAGAGCAGCTTGGTGGCTCTGGCCATCCGGGATGACCATGTACTCTGGTGTCCTGAGCCAGCCCTGTCCACCTGCTCCCCCCACCACACACACATATACACAGGCCCAGCTCCTTCCAGTCTCTACTAGCGGTGGGTAGGCAGGCGGGCCCTTGGCCGCCTCCTGCATCTCTGCCTGCCCCAGACCAGCTTCTCCAGGGACACCCTTCCCTTGCTCCCCACAAGTGCATACACCCCTAACTACCCCTCCCGCACATGAGGTGCCTGCCTGGACCAGAGCCAGTCTGAGACCAGGATGCCCTGCCTCTGAGGGCAGCTGGTCCTGCCCGGAGAGGTAGGTGTCCCAGAGGCTCCAAGGCATGAGCTGTGCTCACAAGGCCCACGGAGGCAGCAAGGGGGCACCCTCCATCCTGGGGAGGCATGCAGCAGGGTGAGGGGCACGCCTGGCACAGCCTCAGAAGGCGGCAGCTCTTGACAGGTGGCGCTCAGCTTCCTCCTCTGGCCCACAGAGAGAGCTCCTGCTCCCCACACATCCTGGGTGCTCCCTGGCAGGGGAAGGCACTCTTCCTCCCACACCCTTGCCAGGCCTCTCTGTGTGCCGAGGTCACCAGCTCACCCTCCAGAGCTGAGGAGAGTGTCTGCACATCATTCCCATTTCCCTTCTGTGAGCTCCTTTGCCCCTCAGACCTAGCACCCACCAGCAGGAGGTCCTACCTGTGAGGAGGACCGGCCACTTCCCTGGCAGCTCCTCCACCCATACCTAGTCCAGCCTCCTCAGCACACCAGGCCCCAGGCTCCTCGGTCCCCAGAGCCATGGGCCTGTCTCCCTGGGCAGGGCAGAGGCGCCCCGCCCCGTCCCATCCCCCGTGGAGACGCATGATGGAGGGCCTCCCCGCCCGACCAGGCCCGTTTGGCGGCTGGGCCGGGCCCTGTCGGGGCACGTCACACTCGGGGTGGCAGGCCTGGCCCAGCTCCCTGGAGTCTGAGCCCGGGCAGCCCTGTGGGCAGCAGCACACACCCAGGAGAGAACAGACCAGCACCAGCCCCGGGGAGCCAGTGGCTCAGGCCAGCCCTGCCTGGCCACGCTGCTGGCCCTTGCACCTGCCCAGGGTTGGCTGGCCTCATCCCCAGTCACTGCACCGGCCCTGCGCGGCCGCCGCGCTCTTTCCTCACAGGGTTCCAACCCAGGTGAGGACTCCCGGGGGAGAGGCCCCGACCGCTTGACGCACCCAGACCCCGCAAGGTCCTCATAGCCTCCGCCGGGAGGTCTGGGCCTGGCACGCTCCTGAACCGAGGGCAGGGGTCTCTGTCCCGGGGAAGCCCCTGCTGGAAGTGCAGAGAGCAGGGGCTGGGGTCCGCGGTGGGGTCGCGGGCGCTCACCGTCACACAGGATGCCGGCCAGCCCCCAGATGAAATCGGAGCAGAGGTGGCAGAAGGTGGGCTTAGTAAGCGTCACCTTCCTGAAGCTGTGACTCGGCGCGGCGGGCCCTGGGGGCCTGGCGCCCGACCGCTCCGGCCCCGACCCCGGCCCGGACCCCGGCCCCGATCGCGAGCGGCTTCCGGCGCCCAGCTCGGGGCTGGAGGTCGGGCTGCCCGAGCGCGGGGAGACGCCGCCAAGCCAGCCTAGGGCACCGGGCTCGGCCGCCGCCGCCATCCCCGGCCAGGGCGGCCCGAGCCCCGGCGGCGGACGACTGTGGGCTGCGTGCTGTGGGCAAGTGGGGCTGCCGTCCCCGCGGTCCCCGCGGTCCGCGCCGGGCTTCCGACTGCGCCCGTGCTCACTGCGCAGGCGCGTGCCCGTGGGGCGGGGCCTGGGTGGGGCCTGGGGCGGAGCCGGCCTGGGGAAGGGGCCGGGCGGGGTGGGGCCTGAGTAGCGGGCGGGGCCTGAGAAAGGGCCGGCCTTGCGAAGGGGCCGGACGGGGGTGGGGCCTGTGGGTGGGCGGGACGGTGGGCCTGTGGGTGGGCAGGGCATGGGCGGGGCCGACCTGCGGAGCCAGGGAACCGGTCCACGTCCTGGGTCCAGCCGGCGGGTGGATGGGTCGGGTGGTCCGACGAAGGAAGCACAAGACCTCCACACACCGATGAAAGGTGTCTGCACCTGCGGCGCTCAGGCGCGTGTCTGTGCAGACGGGCGCCTCCCACCCGGCCCAGGGATCCTGCGTGTTGTTCCGCGCGACCCGGCAAGCGTGCGGCACAGCCCCAAGTACCCAGAGTAGGGCCTGAAGGGGACCCCGTGTGGAGTCCAAGGGGCGGGGAAGGTGTTGGTGCCTCGGGGTGGGGGGTGTTCCCAGGGTGAGGTCCTGGGCCCCAGTCTGGGCGTGCATGACGGAGGAGATGGCCGTGGGTCTGGGAGAGCCGGCCTCCCGCGTGCTCCCACAAGCTATGCTTGGGCGGCTCTGTCTGCAGGGTCCTCGGAGATGCGGACGCCGGCCCCCGTCCTTATCACCACAGGTCTCCCAGCCTGCGCTGGCCAGGGCCTTCAACCCGCTGGGACTCTGCTGCCCCGCCCGTTCGCGTGTTCTCCTTGCAGGAGGAGTCCTCCCCTCATCTTCCCCTTGGGGAGCCCAAGGGTTTTGCCTCATTCCTTCCGGCTGACCCAACAGGTGACCCTACCCCGGGCCTCCTGGAGACCAGCCCCCCACCGCACTCCCGATTAGGGCAGTGAATCCCAGCCCTCACCCTGCCCCCAGCGTTGTCTCTGGGAAGTGTGGGGGTGGTGTCCACAGAGGCCGCCCGCGCTCCAGAGTTCCTGCCCCTGTGGGCCTGACGGGGGATTGTCATCCAAGTTGCCAAGATGGACGTCATGGGCCGAGGGGCTTCCCTGGGACCCGCCTGGCTCCCCTCCCTCAAGCCAGACCCCTGCCTGGCAGGGTGAGCAAGGGTTGCAGGGCCCCAGAGGAGGAGGAAAACGGGGCACGGAAGCAGCCAGGGGAGGAATGTCCCGGGAGAGGGCGCAGTAGGGAGGAAATGCCTGGGCCAGCCGGGAGGGGATACAGGGAGGGGCGGGGACCCGCCCGAAGAGGAGCAAATCCCCGGGTTGCTGGGGCACTCCTAATCTGTTAGAGCACTGGGCGCCAGGCTGGCATCCCTGCCCCCCTGGGGCTGAGTTCTGGGGCAGACAGACAACAACAAACTGAAAAACAGGCCGGGAAATGCCACTTAGTGGTGCCTGGCCGTGAATGGAAGGAACCAGGACTGAGCTACCCGGACAAACATCCAAACAGGGCAAACAGGGGCAAAGTCCTGGGTGGTGACCCCCTACGTGGTGACGTTGCAAAGGCAAGGACACCCCTCCCTGGGGCTCCCCGGACTTCCTGAAGCATGTAGCTCATGCAGGCCTCCCCCTCCTCCCCACAACCTGAAGCCTCGCCTGCCCCCTCCTCCTGTCCTCAGCATCCCCCAACCTGTGAGAAGCAGAGGTTTCTATAGAAGCCCACTCCCCATAATCCAAACCAGCTGACTCCCAAGGACACAGAATTTCAGTACGTAGCTTTTCTATTTGTGAGAAAGTGGAGAAAGCAGGGAAAACATCTTGAAAAGAAAAATTCACATCCAACCATTTCCGCAGATTTTAACTGCTTTCTGATGCAGCATGTTAAATAAAATGGCAAACACACTTCTGTCACACCATCCCACGACCTTATTAGAATACCTTCCAAAATAATTAGCAGCTTCTAGTTGAAGCTTTCCCTGGAGAAGGGAATGGCAACCCACTCCAGTGTTCTTGACTGGAGAATCGCAGGGGCGGGGGAGCCTGGTGGGCTGCCATCTATGGGGTCGCACAGAGTCGGACACAACTGAAGTAACTTAGCAGCAGCAGTTGAAGCTTCCCCTGGAGAAGGGAATGGCAACCCACTCCAGTATTCTTGCCTGGAGAATCCCATGAACAGAGGAGCCTGGCGAGCTACAGTCCATGGGGCCGCAAAGAGTCAGACACAACTGAGCAACAAATAATTTACTACTTAGACAAAACTTAAATCTAAACCTTTGCTTGGTACTTCTAAAATTCTGGACAGGCAGCTTCAGCACCTGACACTTATTATCTTGGTTCTGGAGGCTAGAACTCTGGAGATCAGGGAGCTGGCGTGGTGGGTTCTTGTGAGTGGGTGTCTGGCCTGCAGACACCATCTTCTGGCTGAGTTGGGATGCAGAGGGGACACTAATCCTGTCGTGGTTCAGTCAGTTCAGTCGCTCAGTCGTGTCCAACTCTTTGTGACCCCATGGACTGCAGCACGTCAGGCTTCCCTGTCCATCACCAGCTCCCAGAGTTTGCTCAAATGAATGTCCATCGAGTCAGTGATGTGATCCAACCATCTCATCCTCTGTCATTCCCTTCTCCTCCTGCCTTCAATCTTTCCCAGCATCAGGGTCTTTTCCAATGAGGTGGTTCTTCACATCAGGTGGCCAAAGTGTTGGAGTTTCAGCTTCAGCATCAGTCCTTCCAATGAATATTCAGGACTGATTTCCTTTAGGATGGACTGGTTGGATCTCCTTGCTATCCAAGGGACTCTCAAGAGTCTTCTCCAATGCCACAGTTCAAAAGCGTCAATTCTTCTGCACTCAGCTTTCTTTATAGTCCAACTCTCACATCCATACATAACTACTGGAAAAACCATAGCTTTGGCTAGATGGACCTTTGTCAGCAAAGTAATGTCTCTGCTTTTCAATATGCTGCCTATGTTGGTCATAGCTTTTCTTCCAAGGAGTAAGTGTCTTTTAATTTCATCGCTGCAGTCACCATCTGCAGTGATTTTGGAGCCCCCCCAAAATAAAGTCTGCCACTGTTTCCATTGTTTCCCCATCTATTTGCCAAGAAGTGATGGGACTGGATGCCATGATTTTAGTTTTCTGAATGTTGNATTGGAATGAAAACTGACCTTTTCCAGTCCTGTGGCCACTGCTGAGTTTTCCAAATTTGCTGCCATATTGAGTGCAGCACTTTCACAGCATCATCTTTCAGGATTTGAAATAGCTTAACTAGAATTTCATCACCTCCACTAGCTTTGTTCGTAGTGATACTTCCCAAGGCCCACTTGACTTCACATTCCAAGATGTCTGGCTCTAGGTGAGTAATCACACCTTTGTGGTTATCTGGGTCATGAAGTTTTTTTTGTACAGTTCTGTGTATTCTTGCTACCTCTGCTTAATATCTTCTGCTTCTGTTAGATCCATACAATTTCTCTCCTTTATTAAGCCCATCTTTGTATGAAATGTTCCCTTGGTATCTCTAACTTTCTTGAAGAGATCTCTAGTCTTTCCCATTCTATTGTTTTCCTCTATTTCTGTGCAATGATCACTGAGGAAGGCTTTCTTATCTCTCTTTCATATTCTTTGGAACTCTGCATTCAAATGGGTATATCTTTCCTTTTCTCCTTTACCTTTCGCGTCTTTTCTTTTCTTAGGTATTTGTAGGGCCTCCTCGGACAACCTGTCGTGGGGCCCCACCCTAATGACCCCCAACCCTGACTATCCCCAAGGGCCCAGCCCCAAATACCATTCCATGGAGGCTAGAGCTTAACCAGTGGGAAAATCAGTGTTGTTGAAGCTACCTGGCTTCTGCGCTTTGTGTGGGAACCTAGGCGAGCGGTGGAATACAGAGAGCTGCCAGGTGTCTCAACAATTCTTTTTATAATTTTATTTATGTTGTTCTATTTTTGACTGCACTGGATCTTCAGTGCTCTGTGCAGGCTTTCTCGAGTTGCAGTGCGCAGGCTCCTCACCGCGGTGGCTTCTCTCGCTGCAGGGCACGGTCTCCAGGTGCGTGGGCTGCAGTAGCTGCAGCACACCGGCTTAGTCGCCCCAGGGCATGTGGTTCCCAGACCAGGGGTGGAACCCATGTCCCCTGCATCGGCAGGCAGATTCCCATCCACTGCTCCGCCAGGAAGTCCTCTCCCAGTGCTTTGTCTTAAGTCCCACTGCAGGTCCTTCTGTTGCTGCTCAGGCTTGGGGGCATGTGGGGGTCATCTGCCGTCGTGCTTACCACTCAGCCCCACGCCAGCAAGCTTGAGTGTTGGCCCCAGATTTTGGCTGTTACAGAAAATACTTCTGCGAACATTCTCATCCACGTGTTTGGATACACACATACACATGCCCACGTGTCTGCTGAAGTACAACATGCTATATTCACTTCTAGAAGATAGTCCCAAACAGCCTTCCAAAAATCCACACAAAAGTAAAGATCCATACTTCCAGCAGCGGAGCAGGAGCCCTGCCAAGCCCGGGCAGCGGCAGCCGTTCTGGTAAGGCGCAGGGCGTCCACGTGGCTCTGGCTCTCGCTGTGCGGCATGGCAAGGGAGGCCTGCACCTCGCAGGACCTCCGTCCCATCTGCAGCGCCTCCTGTGGGGCGTGCTTCGATGTCTCGGTCACCTTCTGTTCAGTCCTTTTCTTATTGATGTGCAGGAGTTCTTTATATATTCTGGAGATAGCTCTTCAGTTGGTTACAGTCAGTTCTCAACATTCTCAGAGCCGTTCTCTATGTGGTGGTCTCCAGGAACTCTGACTCACCTTTCCTGGGTCGTAGTGTTCTCCCCGACGCGAGCACGCTGTCGCTGGCTCGGCCGCATGGACCCCGCGGGCAGCACCATCGCGGCCTGGATGGAGCCCACCCGGCACACGGGCTCCCCCGTGGGGCCCGTCTGGCCTCCTGCGAGCAGGTC